CAGCTACTCTCTTCTGGTGCTCTGGCGCGTACTCGCACACTCCAGTTTTGGCACTCAGTGCCGAAAAGCTTAGGCATCGCCATCCTAGACCCCAATTGTCCAGCTCTACTCAGGAGTGGCAGAGCAGTGGCCACGGGCTCTATCTCTGTGGCCATCTCCCTGGTGGTCTGGAGAGGCAACCCTGTCAGGCGATGGGAGGGGCTCAGGCTTGGGGCAGTGGGGGCAGTTGGAGGCCAGCGGCTGCTGGGGCCTTGCAAGAGGTGGGCTTCCCTGTGCCTGATGGGGCACGGTGTGTAGTTGTGTGTGTGGGTGCCTGTGTGTGACAAGAGACTTGTGGTCCTTGATCGAGAAACTCCATGCCCACCAGATTCCCCTAATAGTTTTGCCTGGATATTTGAGAGCAGGTTGATCGGAACTGCTGATTAACATCTGATGGTTGATGTTGGATCAATTAATTGGAAATTGATTAGAATTTGACACAAAGCAACAAGAGGCACGAATGTTTGATCATGCCCACCTGTACAGAAAAGGAGGGCAGAGGCAGCCTGTTGTGTGAAGCGAAGCTGTGCTGCTGGGGCTTCCCTTTGCTTTGTGGGTGCCAAGGGGGCGGCCGGGGCTCCTCCCTGGGCGTCTTCTCTCCCTCACCCATTTCCTTTGGCTTTTCAGAGCGAGAGCCCAGCGTGGAGCCCAGCACGGAGGAGGCGCTCAGGACCCAGAAGGCCCCCACCCCGGACCTAAGGCAACAGAGGGAGAATGGCGAGCCAGAGGTTTTGGAGGCAGCTCCCCAGGAAGGGGAGGCTGAGGATGGAGAGGCCAGGGATGAGAAGGGGCCCCACGGTGGGCACAGCCCTGTGGAGCCCTCCTGGGAGACGGCAGCCAGCGTCTCCCCCAGCCCAGAGGGACAGACCGTGGGCAAAGTCCCCCAAGGTCCCTCTGTGTCTCCCTCAGAGGCAGCCACCGAAAGGACCCCCAGTGCCAGCCACGCTTCCAGGCCACCGGAAGAAGCTGGCGCAGGAACCTCTTCTGCCCGGAGAGTCGAAAGCAGCCCCATTTCTGGGCCGGCAGTCCCTCGCCACCCCAGTCCTCCCCGAGAGGCAGGAGCTGAGCCTCCAGGGACATCCGCTTTCCCAGGGACCCCCCCAGTTCTCCTGCTGCTCCCGTCCCTGAGCATGACCCCAGCCGGCTCCCCCGAAGAGAGTGGGGACCACTCGGGCTCCTCCTGGCCACCTCCAGCCAGGCTCTCCCCGGTCGCCGTCTCCAGCCCTCCGGATGAGGCCGCGGCGGCTGCCTCGAAGGCTTCTGCTGGCCTTGATGAGAGCAAGGAGGAGCCCTGGGCTGAAGCGTCGGAGGAGGAGCAGGAACCGACTCTGAGGACAACGGTGCCAGCTGCAGACAAAGGAGGGCACCCGGAGGCCGTCCCCTCTGGAGGCCCTTTGGGCTTGAACTTCTTCAGCACCCCCTTCCTGGAGGCCTCCTTGACTACTACCCACCCTCGGCCAGTTCTGCCCACTGAAAGTGCCAGCCTTGGAGCATCTGGCAGCGTGTCAGGTAATCCTTTTGGCTCTATGGCCTTGGCATCCTTGGCCACTATTTTGGCTGTCCTGCCACACTAAGCCCATCCCTGGCTCAGCGTCTCCTTTCAGGCTGCACTTTCCTGTGTCTCTCCTCCTCCTCCTCCTCCTCCTCCTCCTCCTCCTCTTCCTCTTCTCTCCTGCTCATTTCCAGGATTGGGGAAGGCAAAGGAACCAGAGAAGCACACGTGTGTTACCCGCAGACACAAACCACCCTAGAGAGTTCGGGCTCTTTAAGCCTCTCCTACTTCTATGAAGTGTTTTTAACCACGGTTTCCATGAAAAAAACGGACCAGGAAGGAGGCTAATTTGAAAGAGAGGAAGAAATAAGAAATTAAAAGCTTTCTAGAAGAAAACTGTCTGGATGTCTCTACCTGTCTCTGTCTTTCTTTCCTTTCCCTCCTGTTCCTCCTTATCTCTCCTGCATTAATGAACTTTCCCCTCCTCTGAGTTCAGGGAATAGCTGGAGCCCCGTTAGAGCTGAAAGGGGCACTGAGGTCATCAAGTCAACCCTCTGCTCACCGCTGGGATCCAAGCAGCTTCTCTTCTCTCTCAAATGGAGGAAGGGAGAATGTGGCCAGGGTTCAGAATCCGGTTGGGGAGGGGAGGGCGAAAGAAGGTTAGGGGAGGCCTTCGGGGTCCTCTGGCCCCTGACTCCCCCTTCGTGTGGCTGGGGAAACCATGGCCCCCGATAGAGGCTATTTGGGCAGGCATTTCTCACTTCCACCAGAGGGTGAAATAGGCTCTGGGCTTGGAATTCAGCACCAGGTGACCAGAAGCGCTGGGTTTTTCAACGGAGATCCTTCAAAATTGGGTCTTTCAAGCATTTTGTTTTGCTTGGTGACCAAAAGAGATGAAATGTGGAGAGAAATTTGGGAAGTTTCAGAGGCTAAAGGTCCCACGGCTGCATCTGGAGGCAGGAGGAGGCTGCCATCTGCTCATGTCCTGTCGCCTGGCATCGCTTTCTCTCTCTCTCTCTTTGGCAAAATGGTTGCAGCGCCAGCCATGGGGAATGGGCTGTCAATTTTTGTATTTAGCTACCTTTCTATCTTGGCTCTCCTCCGGGGCAACTTGGAAACAGGGCGTATCTGTAGCCAAAGAAGCAGAGATGGAAGCCGGGAGCCCTCGGAACAGCCAACGCTTGGCCCTTCCTTGCCCTCCCCCCCCCCACTTTACTGCCCCCAGCCCAACGTTAGAAGGATGAGAACCTCCTCGTCAAGAATATACTGCATTCTCCATCAGCCCCTGCCAAAGTCCGTGGCCAAAGCCGGGGTTCCCTGGTTTATCCCTGCCTCCCTCCCTTCCCACTCAAAGACATTTCCGTTGGCTGTTGAGGGGAAGAAGGAGCGTTGGGCCATCCATTCGCCAGCTACAGGAGTCTATAAGACCACAGGCGGCAGCTTCTCCATGAGAAGTTCGTGTGCTGCAGCTGCTGCGGTGGTGGGAGCAGCAGAAGAGCTGGCAGCTGCTGGCCCAGGAGCCCGGCCCACAGAAGGGCAGCAGTGACACATCAGAGCAGCTCCATCATGAATCCTCTGCCTACAGAAAAGTAGCTTTTCGGAGGAATGGCTGTCTATGTCGGGCAATCTTCCCCGGGGCCTCCGTTTCCTTGAGGCCTGTTTTGTTGAATTAATCCCATCCCCGTTTCGTTCTGTGCCTGCTTTTCTTCTCCTAAGGCTGCCCTTGGGTTGCCTTGCCAGGCAGGCTCAGCTGAGGTGGGCAAGGCCCTTGAGGTCACTTAATCCGGTCTGGCTCAGCTGCCGGGCCAAAGGCAGCCGGCCTATGCAGGGGAGAACCAGGCGCGGAGTGTCAGGGCGGCCAAGGGGAGAGACGGAGCCCCTGGGGCCTTTCCACTCCACGGACTGTGACCAGCTCCACCTCCAGAACCGGGTGTCAGGTTGTTCATCCCCTGTTAACTTCGGCCTCTCCCCACGGTGCTCGCTCTAGGGAGGTGGGGTCACCTGGGAGGGAGGGGGAGGGGGAAACGGAACAAAATCCTCTGAGAGATGAAAGGGAAGGGGGGCTTTGCAGGCATTTCCGACACTTGGAGCCCCTAACAATGCCCAACCTGGGTGTTGACCTGTCATGGACCTTCTAAGGAGTGACCGAGGCAGCCCTCCACCCGGGATCCCAGGCTGATGAAGCATCTTTGCAGCATTCCCCCCTCCCCGCCCGCCCCCCCAGCCTCTTGCTGAGGTTCCTGCCCATCCTTGCTGACTGGGGGGGGGGGGGGCAAGGCAAGGAGGAGGGTGGGAAAAGTCTGCCAAGAGAAGCAAACAGCCCCCAAGACTGGAGAGGCTGCCTCTGGCTCAGCTCCACCAGCTGGGCTGTAGCTGATCCAGGTGAGTCCCCTGAGGCAGCAGGGCCACTGGTCTCCCTCCCCAGCAACTGGGACCTCCCAGGGATGGCCTTCCACCTTCTTCTTGGCTAATCAGCTGCAATTGTTTGGCAAACTGGGTTTCCATTTCATCCGTCACAGAAACACTCAAGGCAACACGGCTGTATTCACACACATTTGCCCAGGATCAAATGCCACCGTCCAGCCTTTGTTCTCATAGTCAGGCGTGAAGCTGGCTCAGCTTTAGTTTTGGCTCAGCTGTGTTGCAGAGGTGGGTTCTGGGCGGTGTGCCCCAGTACGGGCATACAGGTGGTAGCTGGGAGCAACGGCCACTGCCTGCCCGCCCATGTTCCTTATCGCTTTTTGAGGGAAATGGGCCAATCGTACACGCACGCACAGCATGCAGCACCTGCGCGACCTCCGCCGAGCAGCTGAGTGTGGCTGGGCAGTGGTGTGCGCAGGCGTGCGCAGCGTGCGTGCCCAACAAGCATGCCCGGCCCCGTCGCAGCATACCGGTTGCAACAGGACATGGAACCCACTACTGGTGTGTTGTGGCTTAAAGTGTTGCAGGAATTCATGGTTCAGTTGCTCAGAAAAATAACCAGCAGGCTAAGCCTGTCGCTTGAACACGGCATCACACAGAAACGGGACTCGCTTGATGTGACGCCTGGATATTCCACAGCCCATTGTGCCTTGTTTGTAGAAGAGCGGGGGTTGTGTGAACCCAGCCATCTCCCACGGTCATAATTCTATCTGGAGGTTGAGCTTCGTCTGCTGGGCAAAGGGAAGTGGGGGGATCGGGGTGTCTCTCTAAACCTTCCGGGGTGACCCACTGCCTCCCCCATCTGCTTTCAGACACCTGCGTGCCGAACCCCTGCAGGAACGGAGGGACTTGCACAGAAGGAAGGGGGCGCCCGGGGTGCCTCTGTCTGCCGGGATACGGAGGGGACGCCTGCAATGTCAGTGAGTAACTGGGGCCCAGGGAAGCTGGCCAAGAGCCTGCCAGGGGGTCCGGGCACAGGGCTTCCCTCCGGGCTGAGCAGCAGCCGATGCCTCTAATTGAGCCAGAGGGGAGGGGAGGGGTCCAGGAAGGAATCCTCCCGGGGGTCACTTCACAGGCCTCCAAACAGCAGCAGCAGCCGCCCTTTTCCCACTTGCCAGGCCCCCTCCCTGGGGGATGCTGTGCAAGGGGGCTGGATCCTGTGGGGCAGAGGGAGCATCCCGTGCTATTCTAGGCCCAGTTGGCCCTCCCGCCTCCTTCCACGTTTGGAAGGCCTGAGCCGCAGGAGTCATCCTGGCTTCTCTCTCTCTCTCCAGGCCTGAGGAAGTGCCAGCCCGGCTGGGATGCCTTCCAAGGATTCTGCTACAAGCATTTCTCTGCCCGGAGGAGCTGGGAGGATGCCGAGACCCGATGCCGAGAGCACGGGGGGCACTTGGCCAACATCATGTCTCCAGAGGAGCAGAGCTTCATCAACAGTAGGGGTCTCGGTCTTGGATCAGTTTGGAGCTGCAGGGCTGGTGGGATTGTCCAGCTCTCGTGGCTGCCTGAGCAAACCTGTGCCAGCAGCCCTTGCGGGCATTGGGCGTCTCCCCTTCACTGAGGGCCCCCATTCTTCTCCCTCACCTCTTGGCCTTTCCACCTGTGCAGTGGGAAGGGGTGGGGGATCCAGGGGTCCCTAGGAAGGAAGGAAGGAAGGAAGGAAGCTTGGAAGGAAGGAAGCTTTCATTGCTCTGGTTGCTCTTGTGGTGCCCTTCCCTTATCTGGGCCAGAGCAGGGGGGGCTGAAGGGTGTTTTCCCCGGTTCCACCACAAATGCGCGAAAACCGCGCCGACAAAACCGTGCAACGAAGGAGCGACGAATGAGCCCTGAAGTACGCCGACAACAGCACGCCGACAGAAGCGTGCTGTAACCTAACCCTAAACCTAACCCTAAACCTAATCCTAAACCTAACCCTAAACCTTACCTTAACTTAAATCGCGCTTCTGTCGGCGTGCTGTTGTCAATGCGCTTTTGACATCGCGGTTTTAGCGCCGCGGTTTTGTCGGCGTGCTTATGACGTTCGTGCTTTTGTCTGGTCACGGTTTTCCCCATCCCTGAAGAGTCCCTTCCTCGATTCCAGATCAGTACAAAGAATACCAGTGGATCGGCCTGAACGACCGCACGATTGAAGGGGACTTCCAGTGGTCCGACG